TGAAATATTTTTAAACCATATTTTGCAGCTTGTTTGGGTTTTTTTAGAATGCTATCTTCTTTAATTTTGGCAATTTCCTCCTCTGTTACTACGGCAAAACGAGCAGCCATTTTGAAAAAAAAGCTATAGTCACTGACCAGTGACTATCACTTCAGAGACAGTGAATCTTGACCAATCAGAATGCAGAAAAATCAATAGTCACCTGGAAATTTATACTAAATACAGATAAACCAATGACTGAAATTTCCTCTATACTTATAGACATTTCTCTGTTCGGCTATTATCAAATGTTTACATTTGCTAATATTGGGTTAGTCCTAGACATACTGTTTCTTTTAAAAAAATTTATCTTATAAACAAAGCGTATCAACGTTTACAAGAAAGGACGAATGTAATGGCGTATTTTAAAGACATTACAATATTAAAAGGTTTGTTATAACCGCGCTCGATTGTGAAGAGAGCATGAATTGAATAACAACACGAGAGAGCACGTACTGCGAGTAACGATTTGCTTTGTTTCTTGACTTTACTGTAAGTAAGAATGTAAGAATGTTCTTGTAAATTCAAAGCAAAGAAAATAAACCAAAATTAGCAAGTATTTTGAACATAATAATTCACAAAATTTATGTTTTCCACTGGAAGAATGTTTATGTAATTTGATACTTTCCCCACACCCCCTCAGGCGCTAAATTTTTAATGAGGCACGTGACCAGCCGCAGCCAGGGTCTTTCCCAAAGAAAGATCCTTGGTACGAGGTTGAAAAAACCGAGGCCATAATAATACCTCATATCCTACGAAAACCGAATTCAATAATTGTTTTGTTATTTATTTGTTGGAAGAAAAAAAAAAGGTCGCCGAACCTTTCTTTTGAGGAAGCCATTTGTATTTTCCCGCTTTTGGCATAATGCGCATAAATTAGCTTGACGTCATGTTACATTGTTTTCCAATATACCACGAAATTGCGTCAAACGTGGTATATATTTGTTTTCAATATTCCACTGTGATGACATAACTTCAAATTTAGGCAGCTACCGAGAGGATATGACGATTTCACCGACAACTCTTAACCAATCAAAACTCTTGAATTATTTTTATTAAATAATAATATTAATTAATTAGTTGTTATGATCCAATTTATTAATCAGTTTAAGGAATATTTGGGAAAACTAAGAAATATTTGAGCTTTTTGTAGGGATGGGCGATACCAGCTTTTTCATTCGATACGATATTTCCCCGATATTTCCCATTAATTTATTTTCCATATCGATATCGATATTTTCCCAACTCGAACAACCGCACAACAAAAGACTATTTTTATCTCTTCGACGCCAAAATCATGCTGGTTGAATACGTTTTCAACACGTTTATTTTCAGGCACACACTTCATGTTATGTGGCTATAATGGATCCGCAATTCATTAGTAACCACTGACATATATACGTACACCTATATATATATATATATATATATATATATATATATATATATATATATATATATATATATATATATATATATATATATATATATATATATTTATATATATATATATATATATATAAAAATATATATATATATATATATATATATATATATATAGGTGTATATATGTCAGTGATTGTAACTAACATAACCACAAACTCTGATTCTGCTCGTGGACCATTAAGAACTATAGAAAATGAACTACTTTTATAGTATTTACACATATTTAGGCTGCTTGGTACCGTTTTCTTGAGTTCGCTGACCAAAATGAAAAGAATATCGCAGGCTCAGAAGTATCGAAACAATCGATATTTCTTGCCGGTATCGATACTTTTCTTCAAAACCCTGGTATCGATAACATCGAGTATTTGGTATCGATATCGGCGCATCTCTAGCTTTTTGCAAGGAATATTTGCAAATTTTGTAGCCACATGACAAAACTTTTATTCAAAATGTGAAGAAATTTTGAAATAAATTTAAAATTTCAGCTTTAAAACATGGCAAATGATGAACTAATGATGGATTTTCAAAAACTAAAAGAAAATATATTTTCGCACTTTTTCAAACGGTGAAGCGAGGATTATTGATTTTGACACGAAAGAACCAAGTATAAAAGTTGAGCTTTATTGTAAATGTGGGTTCCATAAAGGCCAAGCATTTGTATTTCAACTTTCCCTTCGACTTCCTATCCAATTGGAGATCAAAAGGTGGTATTTCTAACGCCAATCTTGCATCCTGCGGTTGATCGAGGAAATATTGAAGTGCGGGTAATGATATATTTTCTTTGAAATTAAATAGTGTAAACTTTTATAACTCTTGACTCTTTGAGTGGCAGCACTCTTCCCTTGACGAGTAAAACTCTTTGGCGTTAGACAGAGTAAAATAATAAAGTAGGGAGCATCAAGATGCATTACAGCTTGACTCATTGAACCCCAGCGCTATCCCCTAGGCAAGGTGGAAAAGTTAGCTTTGGCGTGAGTCCCAGGTTAGAATGCTGAGCGTGCCGCCCACTATGGGAAAACCCCCTACATGTGAATTTGGCCGAATCAACGTCAGAAAATTTTCAGGCAGAGTTATATGAAATCAACTGTAACTAGTGGGCACTCGGAGATTGCGTACCTTTCCCAGCGAATTAAATTATGTACATGCATAAATTATACAATGAGCTAATTATGTATTCAGTTTACTGAATACTGTGACCGACAATACAAGACAAACCTTTCTTATCCAATTTTCATCCAAATTGAACTAAAATTCAATCAATTTGTGCTTGGGTAATTTCGATTAGTTCCACAAATTTTTGTATTTAACATGTTTGATGGTTTTTGAGTTATCACGCTCACAGAAAAACTCACACAGACACACCCAGATACAAACACACATGAAAATATAACCTCCTGGCCAAGATATAATAATACGCCAATGAAAACAAAAACTGGAAAAGGTTATAATCAGTGCTGGCAAATGTCTGGCAGCGCACCGCTGCTAGGAAATTTTTAACGATTAAAATATCTTCTTAGGAAATCTTATACCTCTTACAGGAAATATTTGTCATCTTTTATTCTGGAATGCCATATAATTCACTTATTGTTTACAAAAGCATTTTGCAAATTGATATCATTGTGCCGGAAATTTTATTTTTGGAATTTGTTGCCAGGAAAAAAATTTTCTAGGGCTGGTTATAATAAAAATAATGGTATAAAGTTTGTGAGTTCACAGCATACAGGTATATCAGTCACGTTTTCGCTCGCTACTCTGCAGGGGCCTCTTTTAAGGATGTGTAACTGTGGGGGGGCGGGGCATATTTCGTGGGGGACCTGAAGAAATCAGCATACATATGCATGGTTTAACTAATAAGTATACGTCATAAAACAGCAGATCAGGGCTGTAAGCCTCAACAAAGTTTTCTTTGCAGTGTCTTCATCTCCTCCAATGACGTTTACTGCAGCTTACACTACAACCCATTTATATAACACATGCTTGAACGCAAGCCAATTACACCTTAACGCCAAGTGATCTGCCTTCTTGGTAACGAACTTCATTAAGTTTTTACGAGGAAGCAACGCAAACGTAAAGTCAAGTTACCGAAGTAGTAGAAATGAGGATTTTCGCCGAACTCGGCCAGCTCGATTTCATCTCTTGGAGGATCTGCTGAGACTGATGTCGATCTCGCAACGGAAAATTTAAAAAGTAGCTGGTGTGACCACATTAAGTCAGGTAAAACTAATATGATTAACTCTCAACTATGTAAGCTAAAGTCCACTAAAGGATTCAAAATGGCAAACTTAAACATTAATAGCCTGTTGAAATCTATTGATCAGCTTAGAGCAATTATGGTTAATACACCGTTAGATATTTTATCTATAAATAAAACGAAAATTGATGACTCCGTGCCAGATAATTAAATAAGTATAACTGGATATCATCTAATTAGAAAAGACAGAAATTGACATTGAGGGGGGGTGTGCTTATGTTTATCCGTGAGTGTATACCATTCTATGAACGAAATGACTTAGTATCTACCTCGTTGCAACCTCGTTCCCAGGCTCATGAGGTTGACCTCGTTGGAGATGATTTGTGTTGAAATCAGTAGATTACATAGTCTTTCATTTTAGTAAATTCCATATACTAATTTTATACCATTATATACTAATTATATATAATGGGGGAGGAGGCGTCGTTCGTCCAGGAGATTAATCACCCAAGTATATTGTATATATATACATGAATTTGTGGATTGAGCTCAACAACTGAACTCTGTAACACAGTTGGTTAGAGCGCTTCACAGGAATCGCAGGTTCGATTCCTGCCAGAGGGCATATAGTTGCATTTTTCGCAGCTGCTTCTGGTTAAATATAAAATTGTATATAATCTTCCGCTCCAAATTTCCATCTACAAACCCTTCAACTGTTAGTTCTATCGACCGACAGATGATATCTCAATCTGCATTACGTAATCATAGAATTGGGTAAAACGTCATGTGGCACATCAGCTGTTTTTTGGTTGGACAATTTAGAGTTGAGGTATATTATTTTCCGCCACAAATGTACACAAGTAATAATCTCACGTTTGCGATTACTTATGACAGTCGCACATGTGACGATTATTGCTGAATCAGCATTACGGTGTGGCACAAAGGGCGATTTTTCAGTTTTTGAAAGTTATTGTAAGGAAATTTTACAAGATATGAAAGATATGCAGACCAAAAAGCTCAAATCGAAAAATCGCGCTGCGTTGTCGATTCGCGCCCGGTGTATCTCGCTTTTTATAGATTAAATTAATGCTATTTTTGTGTAGGTAATATATACGATGGTTTTGAGTGCAATTTGGATAAAACACGCACGACTGAGTTTTTCAAAGAGCATCGAAATAGTACTTGTTTTATCCACATTTTACGAGAAAACATCGGTTCTAATTGTGTATTACAGTCGTGCTAATAGAAGCGTTCCAAAAAATGTTGATCAATTTATTTCCTAACTTCGAGGAGTTCCTCTGAACAATTCCTCAACAATTTGATAAGTTCCTTAAAAAGTTCCTAACTTCCTGTTTCGTTGACCAATCAGATTTTATATTTTATTTTTGAGCAATCTGATTGGTCAATGAAACAGGAAGTTAGGAACTTTTTAAGGAACTTATCAAATTGTTGAGGAATTGTTGAGAGGAACTCCTTGAAGTCAGGAAATGAATTGATCAACATTTTTCGGAACGCTTCTATTGGCACGACTGTAATAAATATGAATAAAACTGCACAAAACCGTGCAGTGACAAAGTTTTCTTGATTTCTTATTATCGCATTATACATTGCTAAGGACTTGAAAATTTCACTCAACTGTGTAAGTTTTGCTGGTCTTGTTAAGGTAAAGTTTTTCCATTTTAAAAAAGGTAAAAGCCATATTTTTCACACGAACTCAACTTTTACTTTATCTAGCGCGGCCGGCATGTTTTTTGTTTTGAAACAATCTCTGAGCGTTCAGGATCGCTTTAAGCGCATCAGGACTGTTTAAGATCATCGGTTGAACTAACCATATCAGTTTATTACAGATTTGAGCACTGCATGCTGTTATACAGAATTTTGCACTGCTGCTTGAGATTAACTGCACTGAAATAACCAATCATGGTCGAGTAATATTTTTATGTATATTAGGGAATAGGACAATTATTTTATGTACGAAACAGAACAATACATGGACGTTCGGAAATACGAAATTTAGATCTCGTGTTGACAAAGATATTCTGGTCAATTGTCCGAAACCAATTTCATATTTCTACACATCCATGTACATTCTAACAACACCCTGGTTAAAAATTCCTGGTTAATTTTCCTGGTTAAATTTCCTGGTAAATTTGATTATAGTCCTGGCTGATTAAAGAATGAACCAGATTATGTTAGCTGGTTTATAAACCAACAGTTCTTGGTTAATAATCCACCACAGATAATCTGGTGAACTGTAAAAACCTGGTTAAATGAACGATGAATCCTGGTAAAATCAGCCACAATAGTGATCCAATTAACCAGGACTGTGGTTAAATTAACCAGGAAACTTAAACAGGAACATTAAGTTACCCCAAACACTGTTAATTTGAGACTAACAAGAAAATTCTTAATCAGGGTTTTTTTTGCGTTTATAATTCTCTATGTATTCGATAACCGTGTACATACCTTGAATTTCGTCTGGAATATAAAACCTTTTTAGCACATGTTGAACATAAGAAACTGAAACTGCCGCACCAAATTGGCACCATGTCGAAGTCTGAGATTCATCATTTGCCCACTTTGCAATGGATTTACAGGACAGCCACGGTACACCAGAGTTCTGACAAGTTGCATATACACCTTAAAACGATAAAATTGAGGTTATCCTTGACGTTTTGGGGAAATATTGGAACTCGAAGACCTTTATGTCATACACACGAGAGTGTTAGCCCGAGGGTGACATTAAAGCCTAAGAAATGGAGACAACATTCCGCAAGTCTGATGTATTACTCATTAAAGAAGATTTTCAAATTACAAGATGTCAAACTCAGTGAAGTCGCTCTAAAGGCCCTGTCACCCTATTGCGTATCCTACAAGCGTATGCCAGCGTATAAAAATATCACTCATACGCTGGAAAACGCTGACATACGCTAGGGGTACGTTAGGCATAGGTTGTATACGTTTCAAGCACGGTCGCATACGGCAAAGCAGAACATTTTTTTTAAGCATGCTCAAAAATTTTGTGCGTATTCGTACGTATGCTTTATACGATAAGCATACTCTAGGCACACGCTGAATACGCTATAGCACTTTTATGCGTATAAAAATTATTTCATTAATTTTCATACGCTTCGCTCTAAGAACGGGTTTGATTTTATTAAAAACAATAATATTGATGCTACATGCTTAAATGGCGGCCTGTTACACTTGAACTCAAAAGGATCCGCATTCTTGGCAACAAATTTTATTAAGTTCCTAAGGGGGAACATTCCAGCTCCATCAGAGTATCGCCAAAGGAAGAGAGGGGAGGATTTTCAAGGTCGCCGGACATATCAGAATCATTCACTAGAGGACCTACTGAGACTCCTATTACTCGCTCAGAGGACCGAGTATTAAGTAATGATTACAATCGGTGTGACCCTCCGACAGGTAAAATAGATGAATCTAATAATATATTTTCTGATTTAGATTGTTCTAAAGGCCTAAAAATGGCAAATTTAAATATTAATAGTCTTTTAAAAAGTATCGACCAGCTCCGTATCATTATGCAAAATAGCTCTATTGACATTCTGGCGATCAATGAAACAAAAATTGACCATTCAGTGTCTGATGATGAAATTAGTATACCTGGATATTATCATATCCGTAAAGATAGAAATAAGTATGGTGGGGGAGTGTTATTATATGTGCAAGAATCTTTACCATTTTCTGAACGAAATGACTTATTAATATCTGATTCGTTAGAAATGCTATGCATTCAAATTACGAAACCACACAATAAGTCATTTCTAATAGTTACATGGTATAGACCCCCAAATTCTGAGGTTAGTCTCTTTAATGAATACGAGACTTTTCTTAGAAAATGTGACTTGGAAAATATTGAAGTAATAATAATGGGGGATCTGAATTGTGATACCATAAAATGTCCTCCCGAAGCTCACACACGCAGACTACAATTTCTATCCTCACTTTACCAGTATAGACAACTTATTAATGAACCTACAAGGGTAACAAGAACATCAGCAACTTTAATAGACTTGATATTGACAAACAAAGAGGAAAATATTTCGAAATCTGGTGTTATTCATCTTGGAATATCTGATCATAGTTTGGTTTTTGCCGTTAGAAAATATTGTGTCACTAAATCTCGGCAAAAGACAAGATATGTTCGCAATTTCAAAAGATTCAATGCCAATAACTTTCTTAATGATCTTTCCCAGATGCCCTGGGAAAATGTGGCGCTTTATGATAACCCAAATGTTTGTTGGCGGTTATGGAGATCCCTTTTCCTACACGTCCTTGATTGGCATGCGCCCCTAAGACTGATGAGACTTAGAGGAAATTCTATTCCTTGGATTTCCCCTGATATCAAAAATCTGATGAGGGTTAGGGACTCTTACAAGAAAATGGCTGTTAAAAATAATTCCCAGATTCACTGGGAGAAATTTAAAGAAATACGTAACAAAGTCAATTCAGAACTAACTAAAGCTAAAACAGCATTTTTCTGTAACAAATTTGAGAACTGCGCACAATCGAAAGATATGAAACATAGTTGGAAGCTAATTAATATTCTCTTAGGTAAAAACAAAAAATCAAATAATATCTCTCAACTTAAATGTGACGATGTTGTGATTTCAGATGATACTTTGAAAGCTGAGGCGTTTAATGACTTCTTTGTTAACATCGGGGTAAATTTGGCTAATGAAATTGAGAACGATTCTCCATGTACGAACTTTTCAGATGATGAAAATTACCACTCTAACTATTACTCTAATATAAATTTTAAATTTTCTGAAATTAGTATGGATGATATTATTTGTCAATTACGTAATCTTAAAATTTCAAAGTCTACCGGTATTGATAACATCCCTGCTATAGCTCTTAAATTGTCCGCGGAAGTTATTGGTCCTTCATTAACATGGATTTATAATCTTTCAATCAAAACTGGGATATATGTTGATGAATGGAAAAAGGCGTGGGTAATGCCAATTTTTAAATCTGATGATAGACAAAGATGTGAAAATTACCGACCGATATCTATATTGCCTATTGTCAGTAAAATACTAGAGAGATCGGTTTTCAACCAGATTTATAAGTTTTTGAATGATAATTCGCTGCTATCTAAACATCAATCTGGCTTTCGGCCTAAGCATTCAACTTTAACAACACTCATTCAAATGTGTGACACACTTTATGAGAACATGGATAATGGTCAGCTGAGTGGTGTTGTTTTCCTTGATATTAGAAAAGCTTTTGATTCTATTGATCATACAATCTTATTGCAAAAGATGAATGATCAATTTGGAATAAAAAATGTGGAACTGGATTGGTTTAAGTCCTATGTAACTAATAGAGAGCAAGCATGCATTGTCAACGGTGCAATGTCATCACCTAAAACGATTGTGTGCGGAGTTCCGCAGGGATCAATTCTTGGTCCCCTGCTGTTTTTATTATATATTAATGATTTACCCAAATGCCTCGAAAAAACTTCGCCACACCTATACGCTGATGATACTCAAATTTTTACTTCTGCCAAAACTATTGAGGAACTTACTGAAAATCTAAATAATGACCTGAAAAAAGTCGGTGAGTGGCTTGCTCGAAATAAACTGCAACACCACCCAACTAAGACCAAATTAATGTATATCGGTTCAAAGTATAATACTGATACTATGACTTATGATATTCCAGTAATGATGAATAACCAATTCATAACTCTTGCTCATTCATACACATGCCTTGGGGTTAAACTTGATGAAAACCTTAATTGGCATGAGCATGTTGAAATGATTTGTAAGAAAGTTGGGGCCGGCATAGGAGCAATGCAACGAATTAAGCCATATGTTCCTATAAATACCCTGCATACCATTTACAGAGCTTTGATAGAACCGTATTTTGATTATTGTAGTCCATTATGGGACGTCTGTAACCAACAGCTGAAAGATAAGCTTCAAAAGTTCCAAAACCGTGCAGCGAGAATTATAACCGGCGCCAGCTATGAAATAAGGTCTGCTGATGTTCTTCGATCCCTTGCTTGGGAAAATTTAGAGATAAGACAACGTACAACTAAATCCACATTAATGTATAAAGTCCTGAATGATTGCGCTGGGCCGAACTTGAAGGATGCTCTAACGAGAAGGGACCTTGTTCAAACCAGTTATAATCTTCGCAATACTTATACTGACCTTACTCTTGCTAAGCCAAAACGAGAATTTCTAAAAAAAAGCTTTAAGTATAGCGGAGCTAAATTGTGGAATAGTCTTCCTTCTGATGCGAAGCTAGCGCAATCAATTTATTCTTTTAAAAACTGCCTGAAAGTTTCACGCTAACATCTTCTAATATACTGTATATGCATGCTTTAGGAATATGGGTCACACCGTTTGGAACTTAATTCTTGTGTTGTAAATAGTTGTATATAATTCTTTATTCTTTTCTATATCATATTTGTAATTTTTAATAGTAACAGACGTCCCTCGTGAAAATCAACAAATCGTTGACGAGGCTAACGTCTTTAAATAAAGTTTACATACATACATACATACATACAATAGTGTGACAGGGCCTTAAGGCCGTTTTCCATTAACGTTCGCTTTCCCCGCGCGGGCGAAGCGATCATTGTTTTTGACGCCCGTCATGCGCACCGCGTGAGCAGATTTTCAAAGTCCGCTCCGCCCGCGCGGGCAAAGCGACTGCAATGGAAACCGGCCTTTAAAGGCATTGATAAGAAAATATTATGAATGTTGAACTTGAGGTGCGAATGTAAATTTTGCTGATGTAACAGAGGTTCGGAGGACGTCCGCGTCAAACTCAGATATAGCCTACTCAGAAAATGTTTCTGCCAATTAACTTTCTGACGAGCCTTGGCTCTGTAGAATAATTTGTAATACTATATTATTGATAACACCGTAGGAGACCAAACAATGGGTGATTTAGTTGATTGACGTAAGAAATGTATCGTATTCCATGAATAATAGACTTCGAATTGATTGTCAGACTGAAAGCACGAGAGAAAACCGAAGGATTGTTTGTTATATATTTTATCGTTTTTAAATAAATATGTTTTAAAGTACGCGTGTGTGTTCTATTTCCGATGGTATTGTTCTGATAGTATACAGTCCCCACGAAGCGCAACTGTCTTGCGGTGTAAGACAGAAAAGTGCAACAGGCTCTCCACGTGCGTCCGTTTTGGTCATATGTAATTGCTAATCGACAGTTATCCCACATGGGTTAGATTTTTACTATTTTTATAACTGTTTAGAACATGCAGCCTTATGAAAAACATTTTTTTTTATTTTCCTTTCTTTTTAATAACTTTGCAAAACTGTTCTGACTGGTTGCTAAGCTACCGTGTATACTGTAAATGTGATTAATTAAAATAAATAAATAAAAATAATTATTTGAGAACAAGTTATCAAAATGTTACGAAATTGGTTGCGTCGTAGTTTTTTTCATTAGAGCCTGTTTATTTAATTATTTTTAATTATTTATTTATTTATTTATTTATTTATTTATTTATCAGCTTTATTGGACAAATATAGTAGAAACATTTACAAGTTTAAGTCCAAAGGGGATAGCGCAAACGGGACAACGAGACCCATGCTAGGCGCACCCCCTCCAAAAAAAAGAAGGAAAAAAAAAACCCCAACCTAATTCACTATATACAAATATATATTACATAACATGCATATTAAGAACGGTGGCAGGGGCAGTCTCTTGTGAGCGACCAAGTGCATGCCATATCAACATTAAAAGTACTGTTGACCAATGCGGTGTATGTCACATGCAGAAAGCTTTTAAAAATTGTTAAACTGGCGAACTTTTCAGGAGAGGCTATTTTTCCAACATTATTCCAAGTTTTAACTATTCGGTTAAAGAACGATCCTTGGAAAGTGGATGTTCTACAGTAAGGAGATTTTAACATTAGAGATGGATTCTGAGTACGAGTTCGATTATGATGTATAAATGACACAAAATGTTCAATGTTCAAATCAGTGTGGCCGAAAATACATTTATAGGCCAGGACAAGATCTCTGATTTCTCGATCGTAAGTTAGTGGCAATAAATTGAGAGTTTTCAGTCTATCTTCATAAGACATTTCTCCAACTTTACTTTTGAGGATCCAACGTGTAGCGCGCCTTTGAACTCTTTCTAATGCAACTTGTAGCTTCACATTAGCTGGGGACCACACCTCCGTTGCGTAGCACAACTTTGATTTTACCAAAGTCAGGTATAGTGTTCGCCTAACTTTAGTATCTCTAATCAGGGGACAAGTTCTCTTTAAGATACCAAGCATCTTGTTGGCTTTACTGACGATTGAGAAAATGTGAGAATCCCAGGATAAGTTGCTTTTGACAATAATTCCCAGATCTTTTTCTTGGTGAGCGCGTTGTAAAATTACATTACCCAGACGATAGTCAGTAATTACAGGTGATTTTTTTCGAGTTATTGTTAATACCTTACACTTGGAGGCGTTAAATTTCATGTTAGAGTTATGACTCCAATTGTTCAAGTTCGAAATATCATGCTGCAAACTTTCACAGTCGCTAGGGGATTTTACTGATCGGTACAATTTGGTGTCATCTGCGAAGAGGCCGGTTCTTGTCTGTTCCTGGATAATATCAGGTAGGTCATTGATAAAAATAACAAACAGCAGAGGTCCTACAATGCTTCCCTGGGGAACACCAGAAGTAACGGGTAGGTACCGAGAAGCTACACCCTCTATCACAACTCTCTGCGATCTATCGCTAAGATAGTCAGTAAACCAGTTAAGAAGATTCCCCGTTACGCCATACCATTTAAGCTTTTCTATGAGAATAACATGGTCTACACAGTCAAAAGCCTTAGCAAAATCCAAGTATAAAATGTCTGTTTGAGTGTTTTGGTCAAGTGATTTTCCAATGGAGTGGAGAACAGACAGAAGCTGTGTTACACATGATCGATTACGCATAAAACCGTGCTGAAGAGAAGTAATTAGATGTGAGACATGGGAATAGAACCTGTTACAGACGCACCGTTCCATCACCTTGCTTACTATCGGCAATAAAGAGATAGGTCTGTAATTTTCAGCAGGTTCTTTATTATCCTTCTTATGGACTGGTGTTACGTCGGCATTTTTCCATTCTGCAGGGAAACGCCCAATGCGTAGAGAGTGATTGAACAAAGTACAAAGACTTGGTGCGATTTCCGTGCTACATTCCTTTAGGATGCGTGCGGGTATCCCGTCAGGACCGGTGGCTTTAGATGTGTCTAAACTAGACAAACAAGCTGACACTTCTTCCACTGTTAGCTCTATATCAGAGATTTCTATATCCGATCTTATGGGGGAAGAGGGCAAACTGGACACTGCGCTGGGTGAAGTAAAAACAGAGCAAAAGTACGTGTTAAATAGTTCAGCTTTCTCTGCTGGTGTCTTGGCTGTTATTTCATTACTCGTAATAATAGAGACAACCCCTGAGCGATGATGTAATAGTGCTTTATGATAGTTCCAAAATAATTTAGGATTTTCACTGAAGGAACCTTCGATTTTGTGAAGGTAATCACGATGTTTACGTCGAACAAGGATTTTCATGGAATTACTTAGAGATCTGAGTTTTTTTTTACGTTCTTCGGATCTAGTTTTGCGATAATTTTTGAGAGCTCGATACTTTTTTCGCATTAGGTGCCTGATTTCTCCATCAATCCAGGGAGGAGAGTTTGTATCTTTAATGACTTTAACAGGAACGCATTTTTCTACTGCAGCTAGAAATAAATCCTTCCACCGAGACCAGGAAATATTAATATTGTCAGAAAGGGGTATATCTAGTGTAGCATTCTGTAAAAGTCTATGAAGATCTTGAAAATCTGCTCTCTTGTAATTGTAAGCTTTGCGCTGAACACGCCTTGCTCGTTTAAACTTCAGCCGTATGGAAAAATTCACTAGGTAATGATCAGAGGGAAATGTGCTTTCCTTCGGGGTGAGAGTGGAAACATGCTCAATCATTTCAGGCCAGTTTGATAGTAGCAAATCGAGTTTGTTTCCTGCTATGTGAGTAGGCCCTTTAATAAACTGTTGGAGAAAATTATCTTTCATAAGGATGCAGAATTCATTGTTCTCTGTTGATCCCCAGTTGTGTTCAAGAGAAGATTCATCAGGTGACCAGTTGAGGGTGGGAAGGTTAAAATCGCCAACTACGACCACAGAAGCTGATTCAGAATTCTCTTGTAAAGATGAATTGAGTTGATGCAGTTCATCTTGTTGAAGTTCTGGAAGATATACTGTGTAGAGAATAACTGATTTATTGTAATCCTTAACGAGTTCAACAACAGCGAATTCGATATTGTCTCTCTCGAGGTCTTTTCGATGACTGGATCGGATGTCAGACTTAACAGCAATTAGGACACCTCCACCAGTTCTGCCAGGTCGATCTTTCCGATAAATGTTGTAGCCCGTAAGGATTTCTGCCGACATAACTGAGTCGTTCAGCCATGTTTCACATATAGAGACAACATCATAGTCATTACTATAAACCAACTCCTGTAGAATGGACATTTTGCAAATTTTGCGTGAAGGGTCATCATCAAGGGGGACGAAAGCTTTAATACTTCGAGCATTCAGATAAAGAACATTTAAGCCGGTAGAAGGAGCAGTGTTAGGACCAGGATTAGTAGCAATATCGCCAGATAGTAAAATGCAAATAAGTGCATGACTTGAAAACTTGGTGGTCCGTAGTTCTATACCGTAGCGATGATATTTCGGAAGGTTGAATTTTCTCAAATTTGTATCTCGAATTGAGATCCATACAAAACAGAGTTTGTCGGGTAGAATTGCAAGATTAGGACTAATTGTTATATTTCCCAACGGCGAGTTAGTGTCGGGATGACAATTGATATGACTCGGTTGCAGTTTTAGACACACGCAGAGAATTGATGAGAGAATTATAATTAGATTTTTAGCTGTTGCTAATGTTTGTTTGTTAGCTATAGACATAGTTGATAGTTCATGAAGTTTCGATAAATGTTTCACATGGACAGGGGCAACACCAACACACCAGATTAGTTAATATTCACGCAGTTGATGGAAATGAGGGGAAATCCCTGAAGTTGAAACCAAGTTATGAATAATCACGCTCCAGTAACATAGCAACCATGAAACTTTAAAGAAAATCACAAAATCTTGAGGCAATGAAATAGAAAATGTACGAAAATGTCGTTATTAACAGTCAAACACAAATCCAGAATAAAACGTTCACTATAAACAGCCAAGTCTGTGGCCAATACCAAGTTACAACGCCATAAAGTTGTTGCTATGGAACGCGACGCCAGACAAAATTTGAATTTAAAGTTCAAACGGTCAAAATGGTAAAATTACAATAAATCCCGAATAGTACATCCAAATGAAATAAAATTTACACAAGAAAACAGGAACACAATTTGTAGTACACTTGAGAGATTTTAAACGAATAGGACCACGAGGACTGAGATATTCTGTGCATGAACCAAAATTCCTGGTTGTAGCAAGCGGCGCTGCAATATGATACAAAATCACCACAAAATAATCCAATACAACTCCTTTCGACGAGCTTACACCAATTTGAGATTATTCACAAACATAGGTAAAAATTTTGTTTATATTTCCTGCTTCACAGGAAATAAGTCCGATCACTCGCATTAGTATACCTACTTTTTGCCCCTGTGTCTACTCCAATGGTTCCCGCTTTGTGCGAATCCCTCTTTTTGTCGTCACCATCTTGTAAACCTGTCGTCAACTGACCAACACGTACTTTTGGAACTACTACATTTTCACAAGGACCAACCCACGCAAATTTCCCACGGTCGAACAAATGCACCAGTCCCAAATTGCAGTCATACGCTGTACAATCAAAATCTGACAAATCGTCATGCTGTTGCTCAAGAAAGTAAACTTGTGATGACACGATGACATCACCAAGGAAATGTGCTTCTTTCCTTACACCATCGCAAACTCCCAGACTAACAATAGCTTTCGGTTTAAGTTCTTGGACTGTGTCATAAACCAGAACGTTATGTCCTGACGAAGCGTCGGTCTTGCCGAAGTGTGGAACTTTCAAGAGCGTCACTTTATTTCTACCTATTTCTCCAAAGCAACAGTTTTTGTCACTTTTGTCTTTCTTGCTGTGTATTTCGACATTCTTTAATATTTTTTGCGCTTCTTTAAACTCCGTATCGTCCACTGTCAGCAAAAGAACATCATTAAAATCTTTGAATTCGGAGTCCGAGGTCGTAGTACATTGATCTAAACAAATAAACATGCGAACAAATAAAAAATAATGAAAAATAAGATAGACAGACGGACCGAAAGACTGACCGACCGAATGATGGACGGAAAGACGGGCGGAAGATATATCTAGTGTTTTTATTTGCCGGAATAATCAGAATCAATTAAAGCATCTGTACAATGAAACCATTTAATTATATTAGGTGCTAGTCTGAGTGACAATCCATACCGGAGAATCAGAGAAAAACTTTACTTTGCCGCGGCTGGTCAAGTAGGTATATACTCCCTAGGGACTGTGGATATTCTATTCATAAATGGGTGCACACGTACATACATGGAGTTAGTTAGACAACGCACGTTTCCCAATGGTTGGAAGATGAATTGATTGACAAATCCTTAAAGTGGAAAAATCATGTGCATTTCAACAAACTAGTCTCGAGGATTCTTTAGACATGTGTGCGACAATTTCCCATAGTTTCAATGTTAAAGCGTGACTAAAAGGACGGTGTATCGAGTCTACTGGCAGTATTAAGGTATTGGCAGTGTTCCCAATAGGATTTGAAAAGAAGCCTAAAGCTTGGCAGGGTTCGTACAAAACTTGAAAGTCCTATAGAGTGTCCTAAAAATGAAAGACCTAGGAGTGTCCTAATAAAAATTCAAGACCTTGAATGTCCTTAATTTGGTAAAGAAGTACAGTATGTGAAAGTCCTTGCTTTAGTTTATGGATATTTTCTGAAATTGTTTGACATTCAAAACGGACCTTTTGTTGAATTGATTGTCTATGGTCATATCAGACAAACTGTTTGAAACTCACTAAAGTTGCATTTTGAACAATTCAACGTCAGATTTTGCTGATTTCTAACGCCTTCTATCTTCAGTATTTAGTCCTTGAATTTGCTGATACATGGTCTTGAATGTCCTTAAAAAGTCCTTGAATTTGACTCTCTCTGACATGTACGAACCTTATGGCCTGGTTTACACGAGTAAGATAACCACAAGCATAAGAAAAGACAAAAGGCAAAACAGGGAAATGCAGTGAAGCATGCAACATAACGTTCGACATAAGCACAAGCAAAGGGAAATAAAAGACATTGAAAAGAAAATTCTGTTTGCTTTACCTTTGTAAGTCCCAAAGGTAAAATTTTCTTTTGTATTCGCGCTTATCGACTTATGCTTATCTCACTCTTGTGAACAAGGCTTAATTTAGTTTGTGATAGCTAAAAGTCGCTAATCCACTGATGTCAAGAAGAGGGCCGTTGCGTTTATAATTTCGCATTCACAAGTATTGTTAGAGAACAATTGAATGATGTTATGGTTTTGGAGGTCCAGGGATTAAATTGTCCATGGACGATGATGGTTTGAAATCGATACGCGATCCAGAGTACAACATACTACAGCATACGGTTCTGCATAATATCTGGACACGATGAGCGAAGTGTTTTCAGCATTCGAAATAGACCACTTTTATAACTTCCAATTTAAATATACTAATGTTTGCATATACTCAGTTTATTCCCTTACCCTGGATCACTATGTTGAACGCAAAAGAACACAAGAATCCTATAGACCCCTTGCCTTATTTATACGTCTTTCTGGCTGGAAAAATAACTAAGAGAGTATACTTTATTGTTGTATGTATTGTCACAAACAGTTCATCCATGAGCATCTTGATTTAATTTGTTCTTTTACTTTTGACAGTGAAAGCATGCATGTGTACTACTCAACCGAACGTTTCCTTTGTCCAGGTTTTGGTGGTTTGCCAAGCAGAATAACTAAACTTTGTATTCTTGCAAAAAGCCTATTTGATTATGCACATGCCTGCAGCTAAAACGGTTTGAACAGCCATCAACGATGAGACACCGACAACATAGATCTTTTCGGGGAATTCGGTGAAATATTATCCTGAGAAATGAAAATATCTCTCTGAAGCGGGGGATATCAACTTAGGAAGCTAAAAAACAACCGCTGGGGGGAATTTAACAATAAATTGATCAATCATATGCTATAAATTCACCTTTCCAATTGGAAAATTTATAAATAAGGTCAGGGGCGCCGGAAGCAATGTGAAGCGGCGGGGGCAGCCATTTCAAAAGGGCACTTCATTTTCTGGGCAGCAATATTTGTTAAAACTTTACTGTATGGATACTCGATTACTTGTGGCTATTATGGGTCGGCAAACTTCGACATTAATTTTGAACAGTTTTATTCGTTGCAGCGTGCTAAAGGCGCAAAATAAAATCAGTAAACGAACGTATATTGCTTGATTTAGCATTAATTTTACTACAACTGGTTAAAAATTAAGCAATGATTGCTAAAAGATGCTGTACAATCCGATCGGCGTATTTCCACAAAGGATCGAGCCCTCTTTTTTTATACAAACAGTTTATTTACGTTTTTATTTCATTTTATGTTCTTGCAAAGCTTGATTGTTGTGTCTTGATAACTTATCAAACTCTAGAATAAAGAAATACTAGAAAATACATGCATGCAGAAACCCTCGCCTTGCTGACAAAACCATTATATTTTCCGAACATGAAGTATCTAAAGTAGTTGTCATGGTAACACGATAATTTTTTTAAGAATATTTTTACAAATGAAAAATCGCCTAAAAATATCACTTTTAATTACAAAATTATCAATTTCCCAACATATATATGTTAGGTATGATATTATACGTAATATAAGCTTCAATTTAAGGTAAAATTCAACCACAAACGCTTCGCAAAACGTTTTAAGAGGAGATTGTTTTGTACGTAACACGCGCTCAAAACTAATACGTATAATAATCACTTGACTCTTGAGATTATGACTAAATTCAAAATTTTTATTTTTCGATACGTTTCTCAATCGGCAAACAAACTTAAAAAGTATATTTAGGCTAGTGCTTTATCTGTAAAATAATGCTAAAATGAAGAAATTTTAGATGATACGCCAGAGAGAAAATGATGTCTGAAATTCAGTAAGTTTTGCTTATCCGGCTGTAAATATGGCGTCAACTTTAAAGCATCGTTGATAATTGTATTTTAATTGACATTTTTTAACTATTATTTTATGTTTGTCAACCGGCAGATGCATTTAAAAAGGTAGCTAACCCTGTAAACTAGAGAATAAAGCCAAAACAAAGTAATTTTGAAAGGAACGCCAAAAAGATTTTAGGTTTTGAACACTTTTCATTGCAAATACGTGACATTGAAAAAAATTGCCTCTTAAAGTGTTCTTTATTAATCTAAACTGCCTTTAATTAAATGGCTTTATCGATAAACTTTGAATTTGCAATAAAATGATTTCAAATTTTCGCATGCAAATAAATTTGCTTTCTCTTTTAGTTAAAAAATTCAATATAATAAAAAAGGGAATCAATATTAAAGATACACTGAAATTATATGCTGTCTTGTTTAGTTGTTTCATATACGCAAAGGCCGTCGAGTTTTAAAGCAATTATAAAATCAATATTTAAAACAAACTTACCTTCGTTAACGTCGGCTCCCTTCTTTTAGTCGATTCTTTCGCCCTTTCTTTCTTGAAATTTACAAAATCTTGCAAAAATGCGAGCAAAATTAAATTAAATATATTTGCAAGAAATCTATCAATTATCAAATCAAGAAATGTATGCTATTTCGCTGTCGTCATGCAGTCGCTGTCATAATGCATACTTTAAATTGGACCCATGCTGCCCCCACAATGTTTGGGCAACGGAGGCAGTTGGCCCCGCTGCCCCCCGTGGCTCCGGCGCCCCTGAATAAGGTATAATATTACATAAGCAGCATACCTGTGGAATCTTTTCTCTGTGTTAATACTCCTTTAATGCTACTCAGTTCATGTTTCACTTCTTTCATTTCATATTTTACTTCACTCATTTCATGTTTAACCTCATTTTCAAGAAACAGATGGAAATCATTCCTCACACGATTGATTCCCTCATTAAGTTGTTGTACTTCCTTTGTAGGAAAATCGGATTCTTTCATGTTGCCAATCCCCACCAGAGAAGTCAAGCTAAAATCCAAAGCAGTGAACACATCTTTGGTGTGTTTGACATAGTTATCGAACGTGACTTTATTCATTCGAGGGCTGGATGTATGACAAAGGGTATTTCGTAAAAGACGAAGCTGATCAATGGCAAGTGCAATCGTCTCATTTGCATCTCCGCTCGAGCTTCTCACTGCAGAGTGGAATGGAGCAGGGGCTGGCTTTCCTCCTTTTAGATACATTTCTCCAAGCGTCTTTTTCTTTCCGGTGCTGTCTGGTAGCGCAAATGTCCTTGCATACAGAGTGGCTTGAAATAGTGCAGTGCAGTCCCACTCTTTAAATGAGTGGTTCGTGGGGATTTTTGTGTTTGGAGCCTCATTGTTGTGCAGTATATTGCGTACAAGAGGCGAGTCATCCCAAACTGTGCAACTTGGTGCAACTCTGGTGTCCCACATGTCTACAAAGATGTTACGCAAAGCATCTGGGAATTCGTTTAGGGCAATCGACGCAAACTTGAAGTAGTTCAGCTCTTCATCAGAATACGGCTGCATAGACATGTTGCTTGAGTTTCTGAGTAAAAATAACACAGAAAAAAAGAACATGAAAAAATTGATACAAGGAAAACATCGATATAAACACACATGCTCACAGGAAACAGCCCTGACTTGCAAGTTTAATGAACGTAACTTAAAGAGGCTACAGTTTATGACGCAATGTTTCGACACTCCGATAGGTTTGGGCGATATTTAACAAATCATCATAATTATCGTCAAAGAAATTATCATAATATTCATTATTTTTCACCCTGCTCGGTTTCCTTTGTTCTTGTCGGGGAATATATTCAATATTCCCCTATAATCAATTTCCGTTTAATAATCCCCTCTAATATTCACCTGCAATTAATAATCCCCTCTAATATTCACCTGCAATGTCTTTGCAGCACAAAAAAATGAGAAAAAACAACATCGCGAAGGCAATATGGCATTGAGAATTATTTCTTTTCTGACTCATTAACGCGACCTCGCAGTGTGAAAAATATGTACGTTATTTTGAGGCACCTCGGGGATA